TAACCCACTTGAATCAAAGTGTGGAATATGATATGTCAAGAAATTTGTAATGTTTTGAACAACCCACAATAAAAAATTAAAAAAAAAAAAATTCTCCAGTCAGTTATGTACTATTGATGATATCAATGTTGTGTTTATACTATCATGTCAGTGCAAATCAATAAGAAAAAATAATAAGATCAAAGTAAGCCAAAAAAAAAAAAAAAAAAGAAATCAAAATTGGACTTTGAGTGTGTCTTGAATTTATATAAAAATAAAGCATAAATAATATTGTTATTGTATATAGAAAATCATGATATAAAATATTCCTCTATTGATTTAACTATTCATGTTAAATTTGTTAATATTAACAAAATCTTATGATATTTTCATATTAATTTTGTACCTAATATTCTACAGTGAGCTCTCTTAATGACCCAATTATACCCTATGTAATAATGTCTATAAGTTATTAAATATTTCCCATCCTTAAAATACTGTTATCTCTGCATAATTACAATTTCCTTTTTTCCCAATTCTATTACATATTATTTTCTTTCTTGTTGATTGCATTAAGACCAGAAAAATATTAAGGAATAATTGACATTTTTACCTCATTGTGAGCTCAGAGATAAATTATTCAATAATTTCACCATTCACAATGATATTTAAGTTTTTTTTGTAGATATCCTTTTAACATGTAGGATAATAGTGTGTGTACTCAGTTTTCTAAAAGGTTTTATCAACTTTTTTTACATCTATAAAAATTATTGCATCATTTTCTACATTTTCTTTTTACTTTTAATATAGTGAAATACTTTTATTTTCTGCATTGTTTAAAAATATTTTGTGTTGATAAAGCCACTCATATTGGAATGCAATTTATATTCAATAAACTTATACATGCTTTAAAAAGTACACAATTCGACAGTTTTATATATCTGGGTATACATGTACATATATGTTTGTTATCACTTATATCTAAAACTCTATTGAGATTTACTCTCAGCTCACTATCCAAAAGTCAACAGCATAGTCAAGATCAAATTTTCATTTACCCTACCATTTTATTTTGCCACCTTATGATTCTTTCACTTCTTCCTTTCTTCCCTTTAGTGAGATAACTAATTTGATTTGTAACACTATAGTCTAGTGTGCATTTTCTACCATTTTATATAAATAAAATTGCATTATGGGGAGTATTTTACCTGACCTCTTTTACTCAGTGTAATTATTTTATACTCTTTCCTATTCTTTCAGTTTAATCAATTCTTTCAGTTAAATCAATAGTACATTTTCATTTCTTCTTATTGTTGAATAATATTCTGTTATAAAAGTATGCCTCTGTTTATTTATCCATTCACCTTTTGATGGAAATTTAAGATGTCTGCAGTTTCTGAGGATTGCAAATGCAGCTACTATGAGCATTAGTGAAAAAATATTTGTAAAGATTTAAGCTTTCATTTCACTTGGCAAATTTCTGAAAATAAATGTGCTGGATCCTATAGTAGGTTTACATATCAATGTTTTGAAACTTCCAAGGTCTTTTCTAAAGTTGTGCATTTTATATTACCATGAGCAACACCTGAGATTCCTAGTTCCTCCACTACCTTGCCCAAGCCTAGTATCTTAGGCACTTATAATTTAGACATTTCAGAAGAATTAGAGTGGTATCTCACTGTTGTTTTAATTTTCAGTTTCCTGATTTCTAATCATGTCAATCATATTTTTATGCACTCATTTGCCATCAATATAAGTTTCTTAGGGACATATATGCTTAAGAATTTTGCCTATGTCTTCCTGGATCATTTGCTTTATTATTGATTTTTGAGAATTCTTTATATAATTTATCAGATTCATTTCCTCACAGCTTGTAGCTCCCTTGAGAGTGTCTTTCATACAACAGAATGGTTAAGATTTTATGACTTCCAATTTAATCATTTCTTCTTTTGTGGGTTGTTTATGTGTAATAATTAAGAAATCTTTTTCTACTGTACTGTCACAAAGATTTTCTTCAAAGTTCACTTCTAGGAATTCTATAATTTTACGTTTTATATTTATGTCTCTCATTCAATTTAATGTAGTTTTAGTATGTAGTTTGAGGTACAGGTTGAAATTCTTTTTTTTTCCTTTTATTTTTAATGATTACACCTGAGATTCCCAAAGCACTGTTGATTGGGAAGATTGTTCTTTGACTTTTGTTGAAAATTATTATTTTTTTTAAATTTCTGTTTGTGCCTGTTTCTGTACACTCTTCAAATTTCATCTGTCTCTCCTTTTTGACAATTTCACATGGCTTGATACTTTGTATAATTTCTGAAATCAAGTAATGTTAACAATTGTTAAGAACAAAACTTTTCAGAGATGGTGTATTCTATATTTCTTGAATTTTTACATGAATTTTAGAATACAGTTGTCAAATTCTGCAGAATAGTGCTGCCTTCCCATTGGAATTGCCCTTATCCTACCAGTATTGAGTTCTCTGGTGCACTTACTTACAAATTTTAAAATTACTCTTAGAAATGATCAGGAGATTTACATGTATAGAACTTCATAACTTTTGTTATGTTAATACATTAGTATTTTGCATTTTGTTCTTTTTATATATGGTGCTGGATTTTAAGTAAGAAATTCTGATAGCTAAGACACACAAAAAAATAACTGTTATTTGTATATTTATCTCATACCCTGCAGTGTTGCTAAAAATAACTATTATCACTTATTAGTTTTAATACTTTTACCCCCTGAATTGTCTATATAAATTATCATGTCATCTGGAGATAAAGATTTTCGTTTTGGGAGTGGGGGGAGCCTTGGGTTGTGGCTCAGTAGTAGAGCGCTCGCCTAGCATGTGCAGGGCCCTGGATTCAATCCTCAGCACCACATAAAAATAAATAAAATAAAAGTCTTGTGTCCAACTGCAACTAAAAAATAAATATTAAAAAAAAAGATTTTTGTTTCTTCTTTTTGAATCTGGGTACTTATCCCCTCATCCTAGAATAGTACTCAATTAAAATTTTGACTAAAGGTGGTTACTATGGATATTCTTTTATTTTTTCTTAACCCATGGATTTAAGGCTCTCAATCTTTCACCATTTATAATGAAGTTACTATTTTTATAGGTCTCCTATACCAATTTGAGAAAATTCTTTTCTACTATCATTATTTTCAGTGTTTATTACAAACTTCTTAAGGCTGTGGGCTCATGTTTATGACCCAATTTGAGAATTTTTCAGTTATTTTTTACATATTTTTACAGTCTTAATTTTCTTTCTCATCTCCCTTTTGATATAAACTTTGTATGTTTTGCTCTTATCATGTGGGTTACTGAATCTATGGTTTCTTAAAATCTATATCATCTCTGCTGTTCATTTTGGGTAAATTCTACTGTTCTAGCCTCATTTTCATTAGTTCTATCCTTCCTCATCTCTATTTTTGAGCTAATACAGAAATTATTTTATTATGTTATGTTTATTATGTTATTCAGTCTCAGATCTATAATTTCCAGTTGGATCTTTGTTATAACTTGAAATTTCTTTGCTGGGATTTTGTAATTTTTCATTTAAAAATTACTTAAAAGGTTTGTATTTCCTCTGTGAAACATTTTTATTAGGATTGCATTAAAATTCTTGTCAGACATGTAAGTAGACTTACATTTTGGTCTCCCTGGGTGTTTATACCATCTGTGCCTTTGCCCAAATTTGTTGAATGTGACTGTCCATTGGGGTGGACATACAGGTGAGACCACACCTGCCATTCTCTCCTAACTAGGAAACTCAACTCATATGTGACTAAGACTAAAGATGTAGAGATTTTTGAGTACTCTGCTGTCAGTTCATTTAGCAGGTGAATTATTTCTTTTATCAACTTAAAATTCACAGTGGATATAGGCATCCATTGAATCTCAATTTCACTTGCAGCTGGAGAAAAAAATAGTATTTCCATAGGTTTTTCAATTTCCTCTCACTTCTTAGAATTACCATCATTCTCACATTTCATATGAAGATTATGTCATATATGCTCTTAAACAAATATCCAACTGTTCCACATATATTTGGGTATGATTATACAAATTGTGGTAAGTTTTCATTTGAATTACCGTCTTTAGAATAGAAGGTCTTAGTTATATAAACATAGTTTTCATGTCAAAATTGCTAGGAAAAAATATAGAATCAGATATCACAAATTACTTTGTATTAATTAGAAGGGAAATTCTCCCCTTTTAGTATTGCTGATACAACAGTGATTTATGTTAAATAAATTAAATTCACATAATAATCATATTGAAAACAATTTTTTGTCAGAAAATTCCAATATGTGATTTATCTCAATGTTGTTAGTTGATTATCTTTTCTCTTTCAAATTGATATTTTCAAAGTGATACTCCTGGTTGACACATGATTTTTATTGCATTTTTGCCAATTTGTTTATCATGATAGGCAGTGATGTGTCTCAATAGTTTTCTTTTTTAGCAAGAATTCATTGCTTCACACAGAGTTTTGTGCTCTATGGTTCCATTTGCAATGCATATTTTGTTTTTGTGGTGCTGGGCTTCGAACCCCATCTTGCACATACTTGACCAGTGCTCTACCAATGTGTCACACTCCCAGATCTACAATATGTATTCTAGACCATGTTCAAGGCTATTTCTGTGGCTGAGATCCCATGCTGTTGTTGTCCAAGGAGGTGGAAAGAGTTTTTCCTGATTGAGTGTCCTGGTACCACTAATTAGGCAAAGGTAGTTTCGACCATAAGCCCAAGAAGACCTCAATAAATGTGAATGGAAGTGCACATTATATATGAAAAGGAGACCACCAAGAAAAACAGTGAGGATGGACATCAAAGGTTGTATTATTACAATGTAGAGTCATCGATTCCCTCTGATTTAAAAAAAAAAAATGTTTCTGACCAATAAAGAGAGATAGGAGGTAGAAAAGACAACCAATAATTTCAATGTTTTATAATCATATAAAATTATAAGAATAATGATAAATGTTCATTTTAATTCTTTTTATTTTTAGGTTCAGGTTCTTCGAAATGCTGGAGAAGAAGTGACTCTAACTGTTTCATTTTTAAAAAGAGCACCCGCCTTCCTTAAACTCCCATTGAATGAAGACTGTGCATGTAAGCACTTTTAGAGAATGGATAAAATATTCACATGATCACACTCATTTTATAAAGCACTATTTTCTGACCAATAATTGGCAATCATTGGTCTGGATATTAGGATGACTACCTAAATATTGACATTTTAATCATAAGGTGTTCTACTAAGGCTTATTACCTTGCATGCACAAGGCCCTGGGTTCAATCCCCAGCACCAAAAAAAAAAAAAAAAAAGGCAAAGAGTATTCAACACAGTCCTTTTACAACCTGTAATTGAAGAAACATTGTTTGTTTCAATATCATAACAAACATCATTTTGCATTTCGTATTTGTATTGAATTTTATTCAGAATATTTGATAAATACATTTTATTTAGCTGAGAAATGATGCACTTAGTTAAGTAGGAATTTATACATAAGTTGTCCTGAAAAAAAGTAGAAAGTTTGAAGGAAGGATTTTCCTTTGTGGAAATGTAATAATTTAAGTAAGAGTTACTTTAAAAAATTCTTTATCAGATATATTTTTTCTCTTTCTTAGTTTTTTTCTAATTAGTTTTACATGACATCAGAATGCATTTCAACTCATTGTACACAAATGGACCACAACTTCTCATTTCTCTGTCTATATAAGATGTAGAGTCACGCCATTTATGTAGTCATACATATACATATGTAATATGAGGGTGATAATGTTCCTTTTATTCCAACATTCTTCCCCTCCCCTCACTCCCCTCTGCCCAATCCAAAGATTCTCCATTCTTCCCTAGCATGCCCCTCCACCTCCGCTCCATTATGGATCAACATCTGCATGTCAGAGAACACATTTGGCCTTTGGTTTTGGGGATTGGCTTATTTCGCTTAGCCTGATATTCTCCAGCTCCGTCCATTTACCTACAAATGCCATAATTTTCTTCTTATTTAAGCCTGTATAATATTCCATTGTGTATATATACCATATTTCCTTTATCCATTTATCTGTTGAAAGACATCTAGGTTGGTTCCACAGTTAGCTATTGTGAATTGAGCTCCTATAAACACTGATGTGGCTACATCACTGTAGTATACTGATTTTTAGTCCTTTGGATATAAACTGAGGAGTGGGATAGCTAGGTCAAATGGTGGCTCCATCCCAAGTTTTCTAAGGAATCTCCATACTGCTTTCCAGAGTGGATGTACCAATTTACAGTCCCACCAGTAATGTCTGAGTGCACCTTTTCCCCTACATCCTCACCAACACTTATTGTTGCTTGTATCCTTGATAGTTTCCATTATAACTGGAATGAGATTAAATCTTAAAGTAGTTTTGATTTGCATTTCTCTAATTGCTAGAGGCATTGAACACTTTTTCTTATGTTTCTTGATTGATTTTTTTCTTCTTCTGTGAAGTGTCTGTTCAGTTCCTTAATCCATTTATTGATTGGGTTGTTTGTTCTTTTGCTGTTAAGTTTTTTGAGTTCTTTATATATCCCGGAGCTTAGTGTTCTGTCTGATGTGCATGTGGTAAAGATTTTTCTCCCATTCTGTAGGCTCTTCCTTCACATTACTGGTTGTTTTCTTTGCTGAGAAGAAACTTTTCAGCTCAAATCCATCCCATTTATTGATTCTTGATTTTATTTTTGTACTTTAGGAGTCATGTTAAGGAAATCAAATCCTAAGCTGACATGATGAACATTAGGGCTTACTTTTTCATCTATTAGTTTCTTAGCTCTTTTTTGCTGAAATGAAATGCATATCCTCTATTACTTTGCTCAAAATTGATAAATATATGTTTAACTGAGGAATAATCTACAAAATTCAACAATCGTAAATGCACACTTGGTTCAGTTCTGAAAGAGAAAACACCTTCTTAATGCACATTCCTTTCAATCACAACATAACCTCAGTAACTCTTTCCAATAAGCAACAGCCACAGGAACAAACATTGACATAATTTCCCATCACTATTTTGCCTTTTCTAGAACATTTTGGAATGGAATCATACTGTTTAGGTTTTTCTTTTTTTTTTTTTATGTCAGGATTCTTTTATTATGAATAATTTCTTTTAGGTTCACCAAAGCTATACATTTCAGTAGTTTGTTCATTCATATTGCTATGTAATATTTCATTGGATGAATACATTTAGGTTTATTAATGTGATCTTATGTTGAAAATACCACATCTATTTCTGGTATCTTGCTATTAATAATAAAACTAGTATAAATGATCTTTATAAGTCTTTGGGCAACTTCACAATTTTTATTGTACTACAATAAAAATCTAGTGGAGTAATTGTTAAGTGACAGGATGAATGAATAATTAATTTATTAATAAATTGCCACACATATTTCCAAAGTGAGCATATCTCCATTGTACTAAATACACGTAAGACTTCCCTCTTAAGCAATATATAATACAGTATTGTTAACTATATGCACACTGTTATGCAGCAATTCTCCAGAAATTTCTTATGTTTCAAAACTGAAACTCTGTATACGTTAAACCACAGCTTCTCATTCCCCCACCTCAACCCCTGACAGACAGGCCTATAGTTTTTTATTTTTTGTAGTATCTTTATCTAACTTTGGCATCAGAATAATGCTTGTCTTGAGGTTGGAAAAATTCTCTCCTCTTCATTTTTTTCAATTGTTAATTCTTCCTTAAATGTTTGGTAGAGTTATCCAGCGAAACCATCTGGTCCTGGGCTAATATTTTTAAAGATGTTTTAAGTTCATGATCCAATCTCCTTACTGGTTTTGTCTATTCAGATTTTTCAAAATTTCTTCATTATTCAGTATGAAAGGGTTTCATGTTTTTCTTTTGTTTTCTTTTATTTTCCTCCTTTTCTTCCCTTTTGGCACTGAGGTTGAACCTGAGCACTTTACTAATGAGCTGTATAACAAGACCTTTTTATTTTTAAAAAACTTGAGACAGGGTCTTGTTCACAGTTGCTGAGGATCTTGCTCAGTTGCTGAGGCTGGCCTCCAACTCACGATCTTCCTGCCTCATTCTGCACAGACTAAAGGTGTGCAGCATCACTTTCAGCTGTGTTGCATGTTTCTACAAATTTTCTAAAGAATTAAAGAAAGTATTTGTGACACACATGTAACAATACTATAACAATTGTATTGAGATCACAGTTGCTAATTCTATATTCTTATATAGGGAATATTTTCAATATAATAGCAAAAAGACAATTTTATAGTAAGAAATAAAAAAGGAGAATAAAATATTTTATATTTTGAACAAATGGATTATGATAGAGATGTCACCTATCTATCTGTGACATTTGAGCATAAGTATGATATTTCAAATAATGATTATAAATGGTGGACATTAATAGATCATATTTAAGTATTAGCAACCACAAAGATGATAATATTTTAGAAAAAATAATCAGAAGTCAAGAAATAAGTTTTATAATTTGACCTGTATTAAGGTCGGATTATTCAATTGTGGTATCTTGAAAAAAAATAGAAGTCTTTAAGATAAACATTACTAATATTTAAAAAAATAGATATCACTGAGTTTCTCATGAGGATCATTACAATTTCACAAAATTAGACAGACTCAATGAAGGTATAAGAGCGGGTTTAAAGACAGAGTATATTTAAATTTTTTGCAACTTGGAAAATTAGTTTCTAAGGATAAAATTTGCTAGTAGGTTGAAACATGACACAAAATGAAACTTTGTAGAGAAACAAAATTTTGCAGTGCCCCAATACCTTACTTGCAAAACTCTTGGGTGTAAGGAAAATGCGATTTTATTTTAGAACCTGATTTTTTTTTGTCATTACTGAGAATTAAAGAAATTTTAATGTGGACTGTGGCAATCTAGAACGGTGTGGCATCCTAACTGGTGGGATATTACAATTTTGTCTCTTGCAGGTGCTCCAAGTGACCAGAGCAGTGGTACCTCTTCTCCTCTTTGTGACAGTGGCTTGCATCTCAACTATCATCCGAACAATACAGTAAGATGTCCTAGGCATAGTTAAGACTAATGAGGAGGTAACACACACTCACACACACACATGCCAACAAGCATATGTGTATATACAACACACACTCCCACTCACAAACATACCCACACTCATATATATATATATATATATATATATATATATATATATATACACATACACACATATGCATATACATATATATACATACACATATGCTTACACATTTTTCATAGACAAATAACTATTAAATCTGATTTATTTTGTAAATATTAAATTCTTTGTCCTTTCATCAATTATGTAATATAATAAGTCAGGAAGAAAAAATAAGTATGCCCATGATCATATTCTACTTTATATTTATTTATTTATTTATTTATTTATATATATATGTATTTATTTATTTATTTTTTAGATTCCTCTCCTCTCAGGTTTGTCTATAATAAGTACTTTGTTATGAAAGCTTTTAACTTGGACAGGTCACAAATAACATGATGCAATCATTATGGAACATTTTATATTATATGTAAGTCCATGCTATATATTATTTGCATAATTTTTATCATTTTCTCTTTTAATTATTTAGCTAAAAGTAATTCTTTATCATGTGTTCAATTTCTTAGAAATCTTTCTGTTTATCAGGGAATTACAGCAAGGTGACAAAATCCAACCTACTACACATTATGTTAAAATGTATATAAAATGAGCATAATTGTTTCCTAGACTTCAATAAATTTTTAGTGTTTATTTCTACTTGTATGTTTTAGTGAGTAGATTTTTTATTTCATAAGTATTTTTGAAATTTCTTACATTTCAACTTTCAAAACACATTTCAAAAATAAAACAATTCTCTCTGCTAATATGTAGATCTAACAAATATACCCTGGGTTCACATTTAGGAATAGAAGCCAGTTGACTTTAAGTAATATTTTATTTCTCTGTTCCATGTGTTAAAATATACAAAGCCTCTAGCTTCTCCTTCTGACTTGCATGATTCATCCTCAGTTTGCTGAATTGTGGCATTTTATTTCATTTTTTTTTTTTGTTTTTGCATGTTCAAGTCCAAATGCTCTTAATTGTGCCCTCCTGCACCATAATTATTCCTTAGCTGAGTGTCTTAAGTCACCAAGTTTTCTGAGTTTTTTTTTCCTCTTTTCCACTTATAGAGAGGATTTGGCAAGACCAATGTTTATTGTTACAAATTTAAAGATATCTTATAACACCAACCACATATGGTTATATTTACCTGATATTTTTCATTCTAATAGATAATATTTAAAGCACCAATAACCTGAGAACAGAAAGATCTGAATGATTTAAAACTTTAGTGTCTCTAATGTGAAAACTACATTTTTCTCCCGTGTTCCCATCAGATACTTTCTCAATTCAACAGATTTGTTAAATTCTCCAACCAAGGTTTTTTATTTGTTTGCTTTTTCTGGTTTTTTATGTTGCTGGAGTTGAACCCAGGGCTTCATGCATGCTAGACAAGTGCTTGACCACTGAGCTACACTCCCAGGCCCGATTTCTTTAATCCTTTAGCTTTCAAGATTTTTTTGCCCACTCCCTTTGTTTTCCTCCGTGTGATTCCTTTAACACTCTCAGTGCCCTTGGACTTCCTCCTACACGCTGGTGCACCTGCCCCTAGCTGCAGTGTGTGCTGCCTCTTCCCACAACTGACTCTTCTCATGAGGAGCCCTGTGCTGGGGAGTCAGTGGGCCCTGGTGGTGGGAAGACAAAGGCAGGTCCCTCCAGTGGCTGAGCAGATGGGGTGATGCCCCTCCTTCAGGGAGTTTCATTTTTGGCCAGGGTGTTGCCACTTCATCCTTGGTTCCTTCAGTGCTCATAGGTTTCTTTTGAAAAATTTTCCTCTATGTGTTGTTCTCACAAGGATCTCCATCTCCATCTCATCTGTCTTCCTAAGACCCCCCCGAAAAAAATTATAATAATATTTGTGATTTACTTCAAAATTGGGGAAAGCTGTTTGGTAATGTGGATCTAATGCTTGTCTGATGTCCTTGGACTCCTCTAGAATAATGAGGAACAGAGAAGTCAGAACAAAAGGTCTAAGGGAAGGAATTATTCTGGTTTGTTTTCAACTCATTTTATTGTTGTACAGAGAAACAACTATGGAATAATGTCATCATTTAGAAAGCTATAATTATAGGGAGAAAATTACTCAGTAGTTCTATAGATGGATATTACAAACAAATCCAGTTGTATAAGATTCAAAATACCAGTTGCCACATTTTTTTTTCCAAATTGGAGCTATTTCTTCTCATTTGCAAGAAGCATATTTTATTCTCATTTTTAGCATTACAATTGAAGTGTCCTTTGACAATGCTAAGGAAACTTTATTATAAAGGTGCTTATAATGTTTTAGAGGATGAGAATCAAGATGCATGTACATTCAGATTAGATAACATTCAGAATAAAGAAGATAATCTCAATGTATAAGATTTTTAAAACTTGCTGAGAATCATGGAAACACTTCTCTTGGTATTTAGGGAAGCCATTAATAATGATTCCTGACCCAAAAAGTTTAAAAATCACAGCTACAGACAAATTCATGAAATAACTTTAAAATAAGCAGCTAAAGAACAGTAGTGTTCTAATATATATTAGTGTTCTAATAGGAGGCAAGGGCTATAGAGATTTTGAACACCTGATTTAGTTGAATTTAAGAAGTTTAGAGACTACAAACCAAATGTATGCTCTGCTGTTCACATGGAAAACATTCAACTTAGCAAGCCTAAGAGAAAGTGACTTCTATATATCTTTAATATATAAAATATCAAATCAATATTCTAAAGGAATACCAAAGAACACATATATTTTCATATATGTCAATTTATGATACCTATCAATATTTTTTGTAAAACTTTATGTTCACCTTTCCATGATTATTATCATCTTCAATGTTTTATGTTCACCTTTCCATGATTATTATCATCTTCAATGTTCCATTGCCCATATTTTTATGCTCTTTAATATTTTCTATCCTGTTCATTCATGAGTTTATTCATTTTTAAATAAGCTGCTTAAAATATGTAATAAAAATATAAAGTAATGAACTGAAAAAAAATCTGAATTATTCTTTCCATTTTTCCCCCTCTGATAATGAATATAAATGCTGTGCTGAGATTTCTCTTTGGAATTAGAGAGGTTTGGGTCTGAGTGAATCCTGGAGTTGGTCACTGACTGGCAGGCTGCCATGGTGAATTGACAGCTGTAGAACTTCTCAGGCATATGCATGTGTATAGGGTGCTGGGAGTGGGTTTCAGCTGTGGGATGATGTAGGCTGTGATGTAGGACTTTTTACATGCTGACCTCCTATAACAACCAAAATAACAAAGGTACTCCACATCCCATGCTGACCACCCATGACATCTTCCATGAAGAACTGACCTCCCAAATGGACTGACATTTGTTATATATGATGTGAGACCAGTAGAAAGACTGATTTAAAACCCTGGGACGCTCTGGCCTAGCCACAGAAACCAGTCTGTTTGCTCAAGTCTGGCACACAGCAATTGTTTCCCCATGTAGTCTCTCGCAGAAGAGTGGCAAGTAATAACTCATTGCTTCTAAAATAAACAGGCTTTAGTTTTTCCTCTGCAAGATGAGCATTGTAATATCTTTATCTTGCAAAGATGTTCCAAAGTGTTTAAGAAGATAAAAAAAATCAATTATAGAGAAAGATAATAAGCAACAGTAGTAGTACTATTACTAGAAGTAGTAATGATTTCTCCTGGAAACCTCATGTTTAGAAATAGGTCTGTCCATTATTCAAGGTTATTTCTTTTGAAAACACATTACTTTCCAGTGTTTACTTACTGCAACTAAATGATTCTTCTAATCAGCCTGTTGTTATTGGTGAATGTAAAAATTCTGTTAGCTCTTAGAGGTACTGAAATTAGCATTGAAGCTGGGTGCACTCTTTTGGTCTAAGTGCTTCTTCATTTATTACTGACTATAAGCTTACCAGTTATGACTCTTAATATCCCTGCTTTGAAAATAGGCACAGTAAGACACAGATTTTAAATAACTTGACCTTAGGTTAATGGACTAGACAGTTGGGAAATTGGGATTAAAACCTGGGTGGTCTGGTTCTCATTGGGAAACTGAGCCACCATCCTGTTGAATTTTCCCCAACTGACCCCATGTCACATGTTGACCATCTGCAACATCCCTCATATGAAACCTTGGTTTTTTTGTCTTCACAATCACCAGATAATCATTATAAGCAATTTTGTTTTAAACAAAGGACATGAGTCTCAGAGGCTGAGTAAGTAGTTCAATGAGTCCCCAACAGGGGCCCTTCCCTTCACTGGCTGAGCTTAGCTAGTTAAACTTTCTGAGTATTTTAAGCAACCCCAAAGATAGTACATTCTGAACATAATATTATTCTTTTCCATTTAGTTCATTTCCATTTAAGGAAATTAATTCCTGAAGGTAATGCTCAAACATATTTATACACTACAACTTCAAATCTAGACTAAAATAAATTCTTCTAACACCATCACTCAAAAATTGGTGAATACATGTGACAATTCAGCAGTTCTCTGGTCAAATGAAACCAGAACACACTTACAGTCTATGTCAACTGCTGTTGCAAAACTATTTTAACAATGAATCTGGAATAAAACGATGTGGAAATGCTCAAATTTCCTGACGTCTCCTCAATAAATGAGGGAGGAAAAAAGACGTCCATCCAGACTTATATTACATGTAATTTCAAACCAGCAATAATTGCCTCAATATGACATCAAAACAATACAAGAAAATGTCAGGTTTTATAAACACGAAGCTAAAACAATGAGCCAAAACTTCCTTGAGCAATGTTTTGAAAGCTGTTTTATAGAAAGGCTCATTCATTCAAAAATATTTGCAAGTAAATGATAAATTATATGCACTTATAATGATGCTTGCCTAGCACTTAGCAGGTACTCAGAAAATCTTGTCTAATTGAAAGAATAACGGGCTCCTTTTTATTTTTCTCACATCCTGGTTCACAGCAGTTGCTGCTTTGCCCGTCTCTCCCACTCTTCGGTGGATTCATTTCTGCTGCACGTTCTTTCCTCCCTTCCACATCTGCACCCCCTTGTATTTTCACTAGCATTTTTTTCATCTGAATGAATCCTTCCACACCTTCATGCAGAATTCCATTAACAGAGAGGTTGACAAATACAATTTTAGTGTAAATCAGTTGGGGTTTCTTCTCAGGAAGAAAAAAGTCTTTAAAAATATTTAACATGAAGGAAAAAACAACAATAATGGTGACCCATAAATGAAATGAGTTTCTGGCACAGAAACCCAAAGCAGGGAAGCAAACATGAATCTGAATGTTTGAATATTTGTTTTCTTTTCAGGACACCCTATCATGTTCCTCATGGCCAACATCTCCAGGCTTGAGATGGGAGAAGCGATGGTGTGACCTCAGACTGATCCCTCTGCTTCACTCCCGCTTGTCCCAATATGTTCCCGGCACAGATTTGACTCGGTGAGTTCACGTGGGTTCTGTATCTTGTCGACTGAAAAGAAGAGACCTGTACTCAAACTTAACATAGTATGCCCTCTCATGCCAACGTTTAGCATGTTTCTAAAGGGCCAAGTCTAGGATAGATGGAGGCAATAAGGAAATCTAGGGGACTGGCCCATCTGGTCACTCCTCAAGCCCAAGATTGCCAGGCAAGCAGCCCTATGGTTCACCTAGCAGGGTCATCTCTACTGCTTGTGGCTGTCCAAGATCCTGTAAGTGCATTAGGGAGCATCTCCTTAGAATAGCCAGTATTGGAAATCCACCAGTGTGGATATTCTTGTCTTCCTTTTATTTATTTAATGATATTGACTACTTTTTGTTACATCTTTGACCCATGGAATATTTAAAGTGTACTGCAAATTTTTGAATGAATTTGGGATTTTCTAATTATCACTTTTGTTATTGCTTTCTAGTATAATTTCATTCTGGATGATTTCAATCCTTTCATATTTGTTGAGGCTTGATTTTACCCAGCTGATGAAGAATTGGGAAGACATTTCCATATGCCTTTAGAAAGGCTTAATATTGTCATTTTTAGTACAATGTCACACATATTTCTAGTAGGTCATATGGGGTTTTGAGTGGTTCTGAGCTTTAGTATTATTAATGATATTTTTGTGTGTTTTATGGTGCAAAGTATTGAGAGGGATGTGTTAAAAGTCTCCCATTTCCATGATAGTATTTTTCTCCTTTTAGTGTGTGTCAGAATTCACTGTATATATTTAACTTTATGTTAGTATATACAAGAAGATTTAGAATTATTCCTGATGTGTAACTTTGTCTTTATGATACAACCTATGTCTCTGAAAATATCCTTGCCTTCAAGTATATTTTATCTCCATTAGGATAAATACTAACCAGATTATATATTATTCTATACATTTTATAAACTCCTTTTTCAACTCTTCTTAGTTCTTTAAAGCTATCTCTTCCAATTTGTATATATTTGGATTTCCCCTTTTTCCTTTTTATTTTTAATCCAAAATAACAATCTTAGTCTTTTAATTAGATTCCTTAGTTTAGTTGCTTTTAATGTGATTATTGATCTATCTGGGACTGCATCTACCCTACTAATATTTTTGCTGTACAAAACTCTAGCTTTTTGTGATTGAATGTTTTATTTTGATATAATTATGAATTCACAAGCAGTTATGAGAAATACTACGTAGAGACTTTATATACTTTACCTATTTTTCCAAATGGTAATATCTTGCAAAAGCATAGTGCAACATCATGGCTAGGAATTTGGAATTGATAAAATCTACAGATCATTCAGATTTTGTGTGTGTGTGTGTGTGTGTGTGTGTTTGGTGTGCATATATGTGTGTCCGTGTGTGTATGTGTGTGTGTGTGTTCAGTTCTACAAAACTTCATTCCATGTGCATACTCCTGTATTTACCAACAGTCAGCTACAAAACTTCTCTGTTTCCACAAGAGTCCATCTCTAGCCCTCTGACCTTGCTGGCACCTGCCTTCTATCCCACCATGTCTCTAATTGTGAAAACTTGTTCTGTTCCTTATCTCTCTTTTGTAATTTAAAAAACACTATGTAGCTTTGCTGGATGGTATTTTTTTCTCAGCAAAATTTCCTTGAGATTCTTCCAAGTGCTTGCATTTTTTTAATTGTTCATTCCTTTTGTTTTTCATAGTAGCATTTTATGATGTAGACATACCACATTTTAAAAATTGACAATTTGAAGGATATCAGGTTTGGGGTGTTCCAAATAAAGATACTGTGAATATCTATGCAGTCATTCTTGTGTGGATATTCATTTTTATTTCTTAGGGTAAACACTTAAGAGTACAATTACTGGGCTGGATTACAAAGCATGTTTAGTCTTTTAAGAATCAATTGTTTTTTTCTAGGGTGATTGTAAAATTTTACATTCCCAACAGAAAGGTATAAGGGATCCAGCTCTCCACATCTCTGTCAGCATTCAGTGTTGTCAGCATCTTTATTTTACCTCTCTGATACATGTGTTGTGATATGTCCTTGTGACCCTGATTTTCATATTCCTAATCTTTTTATCCACATACTTGTCTTCAGGGCATCCCCTTTATTGACTGCCTGTTTAGTATATCTTTTGCATGTTTTATAATGGATAGTTTGTTCCTTAATCAGTGAAAATCCATTATATAGTCAAGGATAAAGTCCTTTATCTCAACATATTGTTGTTTTAATTTAGCCTAAATATTAAACCATACATGTATGACTTATTAGTTTAATATAATTTTTTTTCTCAGAAAATTCTAGAAATTTAAAACACTTTGTCTTATTCATCTGTTTCTTGCCTTTGAGAAGGTTTCATTGATACATATATTTTAGATGTTTCAAGATATATTATTCTTGCACATACTTATTTATTCAAATATATCCTTCTAGTAATCTTTCTGCTTTTCTTCATTCCTTTATTTTGGTTCTATTTATCTTCTGCTTTAAGAATTCTCGTAATATTCCCACTAAGCTCTTTTTTATCATTTGTATTTTTCTTTAGCTTTAACTTTTTAAAAAAAAAAAAACTGTCCAGTTACATTATGTAAAGAAATTTAGCTAAATTAATTTCAAGGAAAAAAGGAATTATTTGGATGAGTCCAGATGACTGTTTACATTTTTATTTTTGTGATGTTTCAACACATCAACAGCTTTTAGCAACTGAAATAATGGCACTTAATAAATATTACAGTCATTAGAAGTTACAGACATAGCACTATTCAGAATGGCTTTCAAAGCAATTCAGATTCAAGAGCTAATTTATTATTCACTTATGTACTCGATAAAGATTGATTTAATGTCTGTAAGTGGGAGGAATTCTGTTTGGTCCTTTCCTTGAAGGTACATAAAAACTAATGGCAGAGGATTCCGTTTGTGGGTGTTGGGGTGGGAAAGATAAATAAACAGCCTATGTTGGCAAATACAACAAATTATTTACCCTCAAAATCTAAGGTATTATTTTTTTTGTTGATTTTTGCCAAAGGCCATAATTTCAAACTTTGATCATGTAATACCTCTCATCATTAATTGCATCCAAGTTATGCTACTTTCATGATATTGTGTCAATTAGAATTGATACATCTCAGTTTATAAGTGATGAAAGGCTTATGTTTATTTCATATCAGTGGTCTTGATTCATAAATATCTATCTGCTTTAAAAGTTGAAGCAGGTCATAATATTGCATAATATTGTAATAACAAAGGAATTAAAATAGAATGTAAATCTTATGGGGACGTTGGTAGTTTTTACTCTCTTTGAATTTGATTTTCCTTATGTGAAATATGAGTTTATAAAAACGTGTGTGTGTGTGTGTGTGCGTGTACATTTTAATTTGGAAAAAATAATATTTGTTTATTTAGCACACTTCATTACTCAAAATGACTCACTGTGGGGACAAGTGCACGGAGTACTGTGTATCTGGCATATGTTAAGGGTGCGTGAGTGGCAGGCCACTCCCCTTGTGCTAGGCATGAGTGGCAGGCTGCCTACCCCATATGCAAATATTGTCATTTTTAGTACATGGGCGTGAGGCCGTGTGTTGCAGTCCCTGTGCTTGCTCTACGGCCCACTCCTTGATTGGTTGCTGCAAGGACACATTAGCAGAGATTGTATTGGTGGCTGCCTATAATCTGCTTAGCTACTGCCTGAGTATATTTACACGGTAACTGCACAATAAAATCAGACCTGCTTCCTGCTTGGTCTCCTGAGGTCTTGATTAGCGACTCTGCAGCCACACTCTCCTCTACCCTGTTCCGTGGACCTCTTTGCTGGACGAGAGAGAGCCCATGCAACCCACTACACATTTGTTGAATGAATTTTAATGACAAAGAATTTCATTTATTATTTGGCAGAAGTACCACGTACTGTTTGTGTCTTCAACATTATGAAAAACAATAGTCTTGAAATGAAGACCAATGCTTTGTACTCATACCTTTAGAAAATTCCAAGTGACAACAAAATTTCTAATTCCTTCCATGAACATACACCTTGATCATCCTGAGGAGAGGGTATGTGAAGTGGTGCTATACTGGGGACTCAAGGATGAAATTTAGTATCTGAACAGTTGGCAGTGGTGGTGCCTATGAGAACATGCTTTTCCATAAGCCAAGAACTGAGTCTACACTAATGGATGCCAGATACAAGGCAGGTTCATAATAAATACTCAATTTGTGGTTTATTTTATGGATTGACTTTTGAGGCTGTATATTTTAAGGGCTCTAAGGAGGATGCAACGTCAGTGAGTCTAAAAGCAGAAAAGTAGTACAGAAAGAAAGCAGGAACTATCTATGATACTGTAATATAATAGAAGGTTTTGTAAATGAAACTTGAAATAGCAAAAAGTAGTGGGTTATCTTAAGAATACATTGAGAGGATTGAGAAATTGATTAATTTTTTGATGATGAAAAGAATAATCACAGGAGCAAATTGGATTGAAAAAAATAGAAATTTGGTGAACAAAATTTCAGAGCATATCATAGTTATGGTTATTGATTGAGGAGAAGACATCAATTAGGAAGATGCTAATAGTGGGAGATGGCACCAGTGTTCCTATGTGGAGTCACCTGTGGGTTTTTATCATTCTAATGGTTCATGTGGTCCTGCACAGGGTGTTCCAGAGTGAACTGTGTTCCATTTTCACACATCAGCCAGCCACCCCAGTATAACTGGACTCTAAGTAATAAGGAATAGTCAACAGTTTTTAAAAATATCCAAGTAAATATCATTAAGATTTTACATGAGTTCATCTACTCCGTAAGCCATTCCTGTATCCCTTTGTGAAGCACAATCTTCAGATATACTTCACCTCTTCACTTGTTATTACACATTTCACTGCGAGGTTTTAGAAAGAAGTACCACCATATCTTTCATATATACACTTGTCTGTTGGTTTCTCTGGGGCATTGATTCCAAGAATGACGAGGAATACCAAAACTCGAGGGTGTTCAAGTTCTTTCTGAAAAATGATGT